GACGCTTCCGATCTGAGGTTCATTACCGGTGCAATTAAGTGCTTAGTGCGTTGGCATGCATAGGCAGGGTAATAGCTCAGGCCCGCCTTCAGTTTGCTCTTCATGCATTATCGCCCTCATCGGCAATCTTGTTAGCAAGTGCTTGCTGTTAATACAGTCAAAATCATTCTAAGTACAACACTTTTTGCGGGATATCTTTTGCACGAGCCCGGTTGTTAATGAAGCTATAACAGGAGCTACTGGCGACCGCTTCAAGGAAGCTACCAAAATTAATCTTTCGTTGTCGGCGTTGGGCAATGTGATATCGGCATTGGTGGATGGTAAATCAAAGCACATCCCGTATCGTGACTCCAAGTTAACTCGTTTACTCCAGGTGCAAATTTTCGGCGATTTAGCGCTTTTTCTATATAAGCCTTCTTTTCTCGTCCCTCGCCTATCTTTCATTTTAACACATTTCAGGGAAATTCGACGTATATTTTTCTACTTGCTTTCGTGCAAAGCGCCACATCCGGGGATTTCTTGAATCGGAAGGAAAATTAGAAGTCCACATTTCCAAATTCTCATTCAGTCAGTTCTTTCTGAGGGTACAGAATCTGAATTTGAGGTTGAGGACGGTTTAGATCGTAAGGAAATTTTAAGGCTAATTTCTATTAAACTGAAGTGCACTGTATGCGGGATCTTGCGCTCAAGTTTCTGCATTTTTGGATTTATTTGTAACAATGATAAATAAAATTAGTCCGAATTTGAGGTGGAGAAGCCAGAAACCACATTCTGATTCTACGTTTATGGCCCGCACATGGCTGTAGGCAGTGTTGGTGTTCTGAAGTTAAAAACGCCCTTATCAGACAGATACATACACCTAATGCAGGCATAACCGCTTCATAAAGCTTCTTCTTTTTGCATGAATTATTCAGAAAAAGCAGAGTACTCGGCATTATCAAAATGTTTTCAAAATCGTTTACATGAAGCATCAAAAGCGCACAGCAAATAATTTGGTAATTCGACAGTTTCACTCATTCTTCTCAGGATTCATTAGGTGGAAATATGAAGACGATCATGCTCGCTTGCATTTCGCCTTCCGACAACAATTATGATGAGACACTCTCCACACTAAGGTTTACTACCCAATGTTTGATTTTTCTCGCTTCTGCTCCTTTGTTGTATCACTTTAACATTAGGTGACACGAAAATGTGCGAAGTGCTACTACTGTCTTGCTGAAGGTCGAGGTTTTTGATTGCGCAAATTGGGTAATCATTCCAACGAATCGCGATCCGTTTTAATGGCGTACTGGTGCTGAAATATACCTTTAAGTCATATCCGCCATCAGCTTGCTTCCAAGCGATCCCGAAAAGGGGGAGGCATTGACAATCTTGCCGGCGGATGGTTGTTGCTGGTATCTGTAATCACTCAAACTACTTCCGAGTTTTCGGTTTCATAAAAACGAATACGGCGAGAAGTTTGACGTCAACAGTCCTTTTGACCCAGCCACCGGTGGACTGGTTCCAAAAAAGCGAATCATAATTTTCCAGCCTAATGCCCTGGCTCAAAAAATTACGAATTTTATTGATTCTCGATATAAAAAACGGAATATTTTTTTTGTCGATAATGTTGATTTAGCAGATTTCTTTGTTTATTGTCTTCAGACTGGATAACTGAAGCGTTGAATTAACAGACACAAAAAATTTAGGTATGCAAATCGTGCGAAGAATA